GCAAATCTCGAAATTTTGATGGAAGAATGAAGGTGTTCTTAAGAGGATTTGGAAGTATTTGGAAGTGAATTAAGTGTGTGTGTGTGTGTGTGTGTGTGTGTTGATGCTCTCGACCGACAGTAGAAGAAGAAGAGTGGAGAGAGGGTGAGGTGACATTGCATGGATGTCCACCATGTAATAAAGAGGTGGCATGCTCACAATTTTCCTCCTTAATCCATTTTATCTTAATTCTTCTTCTAATCTTTTCTGTCTTTTTAAATGGGCCGAGAATTGCATTAAGAAGGGAAGAGGATTCATTTTGGCCCAATTCTTGATCCTTACTTGAAATCATGAGGTCCATAAAGAAGCTTTCGGCCCATTGGGCCCTTAGGGTGGTTCACGGCCCAATTAGCATAAAAGATTATGTTTGTGGCCCATTAGGGTTAATTAGATTATTTGTGGCCCAACAAGGCTTATTGGAGTAGTTAATTTCCATTCTAGGCCCAATATGGCCCAAAAATGTCAAATATCATGAAGGCGGGTTGAATTAGAGCCCAATTAAGGGTTCTAAGCCCAAACTAGTCAAATTGGAAACTTATTGGTCCATTAGGCCCAATAAGGAAATCCTAGTCCATAATGGACTTAAACCGGGATTTTTAGGGTTTCCAATCTTTTGTTGACTATTTGAAGTGTTTGCATAGGGTGATTGATGGAACTTTGGTGTTATTGAATAAACATCATGCATACTTTCAAGTTTTAGTCACAAATGTTATCATTGTTAATGTTTACAAAAGCATTAGAATTCCTAGTTGTAACAAAGACTTTTTCCATGATTACGATACCTTTGACCCGTTTAACAAAGAAAAGAGTTACGTTTTGTTGGGGTCCCAGGCAGCGATAAGCATTTGAAATGTTAAAGCAAAAGTTATGCGAAACTCCAGTTAACCCTTCCAGAAGGTGTTGATGACATGGTGGTTTACTGTGATGCATCAATCATGGTTTTTGGAGCCGTCTTCATGAAGTGAGATTGAGTAGTTGCATATGCCTCAAGACAGTTGAATCCCCACATGGCTAATTACTCGACATACGATCTATAGTTGGGAGCATTGGTCTTTGATCTCAATATTTGGAGGCATTACTTATATGAAATTCAATGTACTATCTACACTGACCAAAATAGCTGGAGAGACCTAATCTATCAGCCCAACCTGAACATGCGACATCGTCGATGGTTGATGTAGTGAAAGACTACGATTGTGAAATCCTTTACCACCCAAGTAAGGCCAATGTAATAGCTGATGCATTAAGTCGTAAGACAACCAGTACTTGAGATAATTAACTTAGACAAGCCGTGGGTTGATAGCGTCTGCTTAAGGATGACAGTGATCACTCCTGTACTTGAGATAATCAAGTAAGCTCAGAGTGAAGCAGTCAAGGAATAGAACCGAAAAAGCAAGAGAATTGTAGGGAAGATCTCATCTTTTACGATAGATAGTCGTGGGTTGTTAACTCTACATGGCAGGGTTTGGGTTCCATATTCAGGAGGAACTCGAAAAATACTGACGGATGAGGTGCACAAGTCCAAGTTCTCGATTCATCCAGGAGCTACAAAGATGTACAAGGACCTCAGACACAGTTATTTGTGGCCCTGTATGAAAAGAGATGTAGCATGGTACATAGAGGGGAGTTTGACTTGTCGGAAGCTCAAGGCTGAACACCAGATGTCGCATGGAAAATTACAACCACTTGATATCCCAATATAGAAGTGGGAGCAGATAACAATGGACTTCATCACCAATTTGCTAAATACTCCTCGTGGAGTAGACACTATCTGGGTGATAGTGGATAAATTAACCAGGTGTGCCCACTTCGTGCCTATCCAAGAAAGCTCCTTAGCTTAGAAGCTTGTAGATATATACGTCAAGGAAATAGTCTCTCGGCATGGGATACTAGTCTCGATAATCTCTGACAGAGACGTTCGTTTTACGTCTTGGTTCCGGAGGAAGTTCCATGATGAGCTAGGTACCCGGTTGCATGCCAGCATAGCTTATCACCCTCAAACCGATGGGCAAAACAAAAGGACAATACAAACCCTTAAATACATGCTTTAAGCATGCGTGTTAGATTTTGGTGGAAGTTGGGATACTTATCTACCTTTTAAAAGAATTATCATACAACAATAGCTATCATTCCAATATTAGTAGACCTCCCTTCGAAATGTTTTATGGGAGAAAGTATTGGACACCCATATCTTAGGGAGAAGTTACCCAACGATTCATGGTAAGTACAAATGTTGTAATTAAGACCACAGAACTTATCCAACAAGTAAGAGAAAGACTGCAGACTACTCAGAGTCGGTAGAAGAGTTATGAAGATCAACGAAGGTCGGATATTGATTTCCTAGTAGGAGACCTAATATTACTGAAGGTTTCGCCATGGAAAGCTGTCATCAGGTTCCGAGAGAGTGGCAAGTTAGGACCTAGGTATATCGAACCCTTTCGAGTCATTAATCGAGTAGGCAAGGTTGCCTACCGTCAAGATCTGAAAAAAGAACTTAGTCAGATCCATAATACCTTTCACGTCTCCCAACTAAGGAAATGTGTTACGTATGAATCTAAAATCGTACCTTTAGAATACATTCAAGTAGACGAGCGTCTGGACTATGTAGAGAAACCAGTAGCAATCCTAAATAAGAAGACAAACACCTTACGCAATAAGGTGATCAGTCTAGTGAAAGTCCAGCACATAAAATGATCAGAATGGACTTGGTAACCATCAGAGCAGATGAAGAGCAACTACCCAGAGTTATTTAGTTAGACTTTGGGGATGAAATCCTTGTAAGCGGGGGAGAATTATAAATGCAAAATAAATATGTTACTCGTGAGCCAAAATAGTCATCATAAACATGTAGAAACGTCAATACGATTTCTGTAGATATATAGAATGCCCCAATCCGACTTCGTATGAAGAAGTAATGCTTCGTCGAAGGTTCGCGATTAAACCGACACAACTCTACGTACTGTAAAAAGTGAATTTTTGATAAATTACTTTTTATCCTAAGTGATCTAAATGAAAGCCATAGTAGTCGTTAAACTGATAGCATGCGTATAGAGAACGTCCAAATCTGACTTCGTAAGAGGAAGTTATGATTTTTTTAAGTTTCAGCGTAGTAATACGGGCATAGTGTAGTTGTTATGTAAGCGAGTGAGAATTATAGAATCAGAGTAATATCAAAAGATGAACAAAAGATCTAAACATAATCTGTATGGCTTGATTTATGCTTTCAAAGAATACAGAGTGTTTAGACAATTACAGAGAAGTTCTTATCTAACTCTAGTACTGATCACCTATTTATAGGGAACAGAAAGCATACAAAAAATATAAGGGCATAAACATGATAAGCTTCGACACTAAAGTACCCTTATAATAAAGTTACAAACTAACGAAACTATCCTTTAGACCTTCGACACCTCACAACTAACTTCGACATCAACATTCTCCCCCTTTGTGAGAAGTGTGGAATCTAGGTCATCAACATCTGGATAGCTTGATGCATTGAACTTCGAATCTCCTCATACCAATTCATCACTTTCTTCAATTCAGCCTTGTCTGCATCATTGTTCTTCTTACAGTGATTCATACGACCGATCAAGTTCATATACTGTGAAGTAGTATATCTTTCGACATCGCATGCTTGGAACAAAAACTTTGTCTTCCTCACCTTTTTGCTTTTACCAACAAAAATTATTCCAAGTGGCTTCAGACATATTTCTCCATCATCATAAGGCTGCAAATCGACTTTAGTCTTTAATAATGATTCAGGTACAGTAATCTCTTTACCCATAGTCAAAGCTAATTCGACATCTGTCAAAGCTAAACAATCGTAATAATTATCGATGAATAGCTTGATATGAACAAGACCCAACAGATACTCTTCTTTTCTTGTACCCTGAAGTTTCTTTTCATTCTTGACCTTGAGAATCTTAGCGAAAATGATTAAGTCATTCAGATTCATAAGAGGAAAGTCAGCCACAAAGAATTTGAAGGTGGTATTGTTTTCTCTAACCACATGATATCGAAAATTTTGAAGTACTCCCTCGAAAAGAACATCTTTGGTGATACTCAAAACTCGAACTATCTTTATAAGTGACGAAACTTCTTCTTCTTCTTTCCCAAGTACTGCATGAAATCGAAGTTTTAGTTTCTTGAACTCTTCCTTATCATTGAACTTGTCAACTGTAACAATTGGTAAAAATTGGTCAGAGTTCGACGGTAAAACTAACGCGAACCGCTATGTGTTGATGACCAATTGTGCGTAATTCTATGTTTATAGTGTTTAGTAAAGACATTTTTGTTCAAAATAATTTTCAGAACATCCTAAACTGCTCAAACCGTCTATCGTTGAAGATTGAATCGAAAATCACTAAAAATTAAATTCTATTTGTGACGTTAAAAATAAATTTCTGCATTAATTTTATTTGAAAATTATGGATAAGAAATTTGAGTAGATTACGTTGTCCTGATTTCGTGGATATAAAGAACGTCCAAAACGGAGGTCGTATGAGAAAGTTACGCTTCTTCAAAGTTTCAAAAATCAGTATTTATCTGATTTTCTTAAAAAGAAACTTGCACTGCTTCGTTTGGAATAGCTACGAGTCTCGTAAACTGTTTTTGAACACCTTTTCAAATTCAGGTCATGGCATGTTATTTTATTATATTTTTAATCTCGGCCAAAAACAAATTTGTAAATCTGACGAATCTTAACCAATTAAGCGACAAACTTTAAACGTAAATTCACAGAGTTTGGTATATCGGAATTGAGTTCCGTCTACATTTTTGGAATCACCACGACTAGGACAATCAACAGGAAATTTCATAAAAGTTTCATGAGTCGGGATCGATGACACGATAATCAAGAAACGGAATTACCTTATGAAATAAATTGCACATGTTTTATTCTAAAAAGAAATATCTAGCCAAGTCAGCCATTGACTATTTCAATAATTTATCTAAATACTTCAATCGGGAGCTATACAACATACATACTCACACAAAGGAAGCTATACAAGATTCACCCTCACACAAACAATCACATACGATACTAATAGATTTGGAAGTACAAAGAAATCAACCAAAGTCTTCCCAAAATCTAAAATCTGTGGAAGATAATCATAATGTAGCTGGAAATCGTTCTTCATTCCACACACTCAAACTTTCGATCCATCTCTCTCCCTTTTTCTTCTTTAATTGTTTGTCAAAGTCCTCCATCGGAGGAGCTGTTCCAGTGAAACCAAAAGAGTAGCAACACTCTTGTTTCTCTTCTTCCTTCCAATCGACTTCACAACCCCGATTGTGCTCCTCCAGTTCTGATAACCAATCATCACCTCTGTGGCTGTTGCTATGACCACCGGTGGAGCCTGGAGACCACCAATCACCACCCTCACAACTCCTCTCTGTCATCACTGCCGAGAACCACACCCAAGCATCCCTTATGAGTTCATCAGCTCCAGTCAAGAATCAATCCCAAACACCTTCTTAAGCAAATCACACACCAGAACCCATTGATTTCAATCAAACAAAGAAGAGAGAAGAAAGAAACCTGTGATTATCGAGCAAAACGACCGGAGCCCCCTGTCACCACCTTCGTCTCTCCCCTGCTCCCTTCTTCGTGTTCCACTGCTGAAGACGATAGATGAATCCAAGAGGAGCTTGTCGGAATTCGGCTGCCCCTCTCCCCTCCTCACGATCCCACAACCACCACCAATCTACCCATCTGCTTTCATTTTACTTCTTCTTTATCCGAACAAGACAATCAGGTGGTACCCTCCAAAGGGATCGGCAAATGTTGCTGCTTCCGTTCACCATCTTCGATCCAGTCAAGCACCGAAGGTGCTCCTCTCCGTCCCTCCTTGCGATCTGAATGGCCAACATCGGAATTCCTCATCGTGGCTGCTCCGTTTGTTCATTCTGTTCTTCTCCGAAAACAGAGAACCGAAGGTATTTCCTAGGTCGTCTGCGACTGCTAGGTCTCCCTGCCGATTGACTGCTGGCGATGAGACGCGCATCCACGAGGGTCTGCCGCAGATTGGCCCCATTTTCCCCCTGCTATTTCGTTTGACCGTGCCTATACCCGATCTGTGATGGAGAAGAAGACGCATCCCTATGTATATTTTATGAACCTGGCACAATTAGTCCCTCTCCTTATATTAAGAGAGCAAAACCCATCCCTTGTGGTAATTGTTTGATCAACAGCCCTATTGTTGGTGTATAATTACCAAATTAGCCCTCCAATACTTTGCTTTATTTAAATCAGTCCATATTGTTTATAATATTGGAACACAAAAATTCCTTTATTTTAATTGGTTACAAAACGAACCTGAAAATGTTTTAAAGTCCATGAATGGTTACTTTGCGGTTATTCACGAAAAGCTTCACCAAAACGAACAAGGATCGAGATCACGCATCGAATGTGAGTTTCTACGGCCCCTCTTTTACGATTTTAATATTTGGGGGAGAATATATGCGTGTCTATTAAAGTTTGATGATTTTTAAGTTTTATATACAAAATAACATCTTACTTTGTTATTGGTCAAACGTTTATGAAATAGCAATCTAAAGATGTGATAAATCACTAGCAAATCTATTAAGTTAAAGTAGATTGTTATAAGTTGATATAATTATACTTTATGTGAAATATAAATATAATTATTAAGAAAAATCACAAGATTATAATTATATTGCTATAATTACACAAGTGGATATTATGAGTCACAAAAATGATGACTTTACATGTATAAGATAAAGTATCTCATGGAAGCATGAAACGATATAATAATGACCAAAATTATTATCCGTGTATAAAATGAAAGTATATTGCCATAATTGATGGAAGATTAAATTCATGAGATTATATAATTATTAGTTAAAATTATAAGATTTAACTTTTAATATATATAAGGTTATGTAAAAATGAATTGAGAAGTTATTAATATATTTTTATATTAATTATAACAACATAACTTTATTATACTAAGTTATTTATTCTTATCACAATAAATAACATGATGGACTTCAGAGCTTAAGAGTCGTTATTTACGTAATAAATACTTGTTGAGTATTCTATTTAAAGACTTTACCTCTATCCCAAATTAAATGTATTAAAAACATTCTCGCATAATTTATATAAAATATGGGGAATGTAGATCTACGGTCGATCCAAACTTGGATAGATTCAAAATTTAGCTATTATGCTAATACAACATCGAAACCCTATCTAGTATGATAAATTCTTGAAGTTATACGAATTTCAATAATCGTTTTTCTAAACGGTGCATAATGTTACATATCCAGTGAATTTAGAATGGATTATATAGGTTCATTATACCTATTCCATATAGGTTTATCATAGATATTCCATACAGGTTTATCATACCTACTCCTATAATAGGTTTATCATACCTATTCCAGATAGGTTTATCATACCTATTCCATACAGGTTTATCATACCTACTACATATAGGTTTATCATACCTATTCCAGATAGGTTTATCATACCTATTCCATACAGGTTTATCATACCTACTCCATATAGGTTCATCATACCTATTCCATATAGGTTTATCATACCTATTCCGAATACCAGATCCGATACGTTTGAGTTTCCATTATAAATTATTCCGGGTTTCGCGAAAGCTAAGATCTCAATACTTTGTAGATACTCTCCAATATATAACTGTTAATCCTCGAGGGAACGACTAACGTCGGGTGTAAGTGTCATATTACTGATCTTATACGATACGACCGCCCGCCTGGAGTTACTAGCTACAACTACATCTGACGAGATAAATTTTGGTGCTGACGTTAGCATTATCAAAACATTACCACGTGTTACAACGGGGTGAGTGACTTTAGCACGCACGCCTTATTATGGTGTCGGTGCATTAATAAAGTATAGTGTCACGAGTTCGGTTATGATTTCATTATAAAATCCAAGTTTTGTTTCGTTATCGTATAGAATCGATATTGGATTTATACGGGGTTTATGTTCACTTATTCTAGTTGAAGGAAACTGTATTTAGTAGGATAGCTTGTGACTCAAAGCGATAAGTGTCAATACCAAAAATTAAGTTATATAACACTTAATTAATATCATGACACGACTCGACAAGATTTATTAACTCACATAAAATGAGTTATTTATATAAACCATTTGTTTTTATAATAAAACACAATATTTACATGGGAGCAGTTTTCCCCACCGGTTAAGTGTCGGTTTTCAAATTAAGTCAGATAATACTTAATTATTGCCACGACACGATTTTACAAAGTTCATAAATTCAATACTTATTAGTTCTTCATATAAATGATACAAATTCTTGTATAAGGTTTCAAGAGTAAAGTTGGTTATTTTATGTTCTCACAAAGGGTAACATTTCCTATTTTTATATAATTTGATATTCAAAATCTTTATGTAAAAATGCATTTTGATATAAGTCTGAATTACTTATATGTATTTTCCAACTTTTGTACATTTGGATTTGAACAACTGGTATTTATGAATGAGTCATAACACATTGTTATAACTCAATTGTTGTATACTTTTAATAGAAAAGTAAACATTTATAAAAGCTGGTCAACCAGCTAAATTTTATCAAACACTTTTGGGTATAAAAATACTGTGTCAAAACCTGTAGAACTCACCAACAATTTTGTTGACGTATTTTAATGCATGTATTCTTATGTTATTTAGCAGGTCGGAAGTGTTCGCTCAGAAGACTCTCCGTTAGTTATATTATATCTTTGTAAACGTCGGATTGTTAGGCGTATGTCACGATTTAGTAATAGTCATTGTCAATGTAATTTCTATTTTGGTAATAATAGAAGATTATATTTGTATTGTTCAATGTATGTTTAATAACTGTGATTACTGATTTACGTCTCGCACCTCGGCGTTTCCGCCGGCGGCTGAGGGTGTGATATCAACAATCTGATATTGTGAAGTAATACACATCATCTTGTTGATAGGAAATTCCAAATGATTCATATGCGAATTCTAAGTTGCATAACTCTTCTTTGGTTTCTTCTCAAAATCAGGCATCTCTCCATGTACTACCATAACTTCAATGTTCTCATAGTTATGTAGTTTCCTTGTATCACCTTTGTTTAACATTGGAGGATCATTTTGACAAAGCTTGGGAATACTTTGAATATGACGTTGTTTTTCCATTTCAGCTTCAATAGTTGTTTTTCTTTCTTCCTTCGTCAGTTCAACACTAACACCTTTCCCTTTTCCTTTATCTGCTTCAGTAGGTGTAGGTTTCGAAGAAGAACTGGAACCACCAATAACAATCCCTTTTGCCAAAGGTCTTGTTGTTGTTGTCGAAATAATTGGACCAGTCGTCTTTGGAAAAGATGTTGGAATTGTGTAGTCAGATCTTTTCCCACAACTTTTGCATCTCCACTCGGATCACCACTAGTCTTTCCAGATGCTCATTCGCCTTTACTTACACCAACATTTTTTCTTTCTCCCCCTTACACCCCTGTGAAAATAGGTGGGGCATCCGTTGGTAGTAAGTTCAAGAGTTTCAAAAGTGGAGCCAATTCAGAATGAATTGTTGACTCAAGCAACCAAAACTTCTGAGTTAAAAACTCAAGAGTGAACAAAGATGAGGAACCAAACTTTGAAACCATTTCCTTCAAGTCAACCAAAAGCGAATCAATTTTTCCAAAATTCTTTAAATCAAATGCCGCCTTCTCATCTATCTTCGGAAGCATAGAATGGTAATACTCAGCAATTTTCGTACTACACCGGCAACTATATCGACCTTCGTGGGAAGAGAAGAATGATTGGTTGTCAAATTTGTTATCTCCTTTTCCATGTCTGAACGTATCTCTTTAATTTTTCGATTGACATCTTCTCGAACAGCCTTCACATCCTGAACAAAGAGAACATGTCTTTGCTTGGCAACTGTTTTCAAGTCTTTCAATTCCCCATTAAAGGTCTCAGATTGAGCCTTGACCCTTAACTCATTATTCTTGTCAGACTGATCAATTTTGTTGATAATACGAAGCTATTGAGCTTTAATCATAACATCCACTTCGATACCAGACACCAAATGTTTTCCCCCTGCATCAGCTTGTAGTTGGAGTAAAGAATTGAGCTTTCGATTTAAGATCTTGAACTGCTTCCCAAACATGAGCATATTGTCAGGAATATTCTCCTCTTTGGATCAAACTCAATATCAACAAAGGAACCTACGGACCCTCCATCATCTGTTTCATCGTCATGAATTGTTCTGGGTTCTTCGGTGGATTGAGATGGCAATAAGGATGTAATGGGTTGTTGCATAATGGTGTCAAAAGTAGGTGAATGTGTAGTTGTAGGTAATGTAGTAGGAATAGTAGTATGAAATGGAGGTAAGGAAACATTAGGATCAACACCAAAAGTTTCGAAAGTAGAGGAGATAATAATAGACGAATTACCTTGGGCTTCATTTTTCGATACTCCATCACCCTTGTTGACATTTGCATCCATATCAGATACGTTTGCAGTGATGCCTGAAGTTCGAATCTCCTCATGTAATGATTCGATAGTCGAAACTTCGGGTGGTATGACTGATGTCTGCTTAGGAGTAGAACTCTTTGATTGTCCACCGTGATTGATGGTTTTGTCCACTTTAGAAGTTTTTACAGTGCTATCAGGATTTCCAGTCTCCTTGAAAGTCGAATTAACTGGAGAATCCCTCACAGGTGAAGAATTGCCCGTATGATCATTTCTCAATGGAGATTCAGGTAAAACTTCATCATCCATTGAGTCTTCTTGCAAAATGAGCTTCCTCTGCTTCTTCTGTTTCATGGATACTTTC